AATGGGGGGAAGGAATGGACTTTACCTTTGCAAGCCTACTTTCTGTCATGTCAGAGTCAGCAAGGCATAAGCTGGCCACAGGCCCCTTCAGGATGCAGCAGATCTCCACAGAAGTGGAGTTACACAGACATTCCGCGACACTGACTTTTTATTATGATGTAAAACAACTGCTAATATGCAAGAAGACTCGGAAAGAGTTCTCATAACATCTGAATTGGTACTGGCATGGGACAGACATAGACCAATGCATCACCACTGAGAATCTAAAAGAAACCCTCACATTTACGGTCAATTGATTTTCAATACGAGTGTCAAATAACTGAATGAGACAATAATAGTCTTTTTAACAAATGGTACAGGGACAACTGGATATCCACATGCAAAAGAACAAAATTCGACCTCTACCTCATACAACATGTATCAAATTAACTCAAAACGAAAGAGCTAAAACTACAAAATTCTTAGAAGAAAACACAGGCGTGTGTCTTCATGACTGGATCTGGCACTTGTTTCTTAGGACAGTAGACAGAAATAGATTAACTGAACTTCATCAATATTAAAAACGTCTACTCTTCAAAAGACACCATCAAGAAGGTAAGAAGGCAAGCTCCTGAACAGGAGGAAATACTCGAAAATCCTACATCTGATCAAAGGCTTGCACCCAGCATACAAAAAGGACTCTGACAATTCAATCATAAAAAGACAACCCAATTTGAAAATGGGCAAAAACCTAAACAGCCAGGTCTTCAAAGAAGATACACAAATAGATAAGCACATGAAAAGATCCCCAACATTCTTAGTCATCAGAAAAATGCAAATCAAAGCCACAACGAGATGCCAGTTCACACCTACCAGGAGAGCTGATGACCAGTGGTGACAGGAATGCATAGGAATTGGGAGAATTATACACTTTGGGTAAAAATGTTAGATGGTGCAGCCACTCTGGAAAACAGTATGGCAGGTCCTGAAAGGGTTAAACAGAGTTACCGTATGACAGCATTTCCATTCTTAAGTATATTCCCCAAAGAAGTGGAAACATGTTTACACCAAAACTTGGACAGAAATGTTCACAGCAGCATTATTAGCAAGAGCCAAAAAGCAGAGGCAACCCAAAGGTTCATCAACTGATGGATGGATAAACGGTTTAGCCCCACAACCGAGTACTGTTCGACAATAAACAGAAATGGAAATACTGACAAGCGCTGTAACATGGATGAACCTTGAAGACGTGTTGTCAAATGAAAAAAGCTAATCATGAAGGACCGCACAGCATGCGACTCCATTCCTGGGAAACACCCAGAACAGGCACATCTATAGGGACAGAAGTCAGACTGGTGGTTGCTGGGGGATGGGGGGGCTGTGGTGCTGGGGGGGTGATGGCCAAGGGATGCAGGCTTTCTTTTTGGGGTGATGGGAATGTTCT